GCCTCAAGCCGCGGGACAAACCGACGCTTTCCCAGGTACTGTTTGAACCGGAGGAAATAGTGTGGGAAGTTGAGAGAGATTAGAGAAATGGCGTGTCGTCGCCGTGTCTGCACACACGGTCTTGTTTGGTTCCGATGGGGATTCTTAAAAGAGAACTTTTTTTTCTTTTCGGTGAGGACCTGAACTGTGATCTTCTCGTCGTTTGACCTTCACGGGGGGCGGGGGGGTGAAGGATTTTAGAAAAAGTAAGGGAAAGTCATAATAATATTCAAATTTGAGGGAGAAAAATTAGATATAAAAAAAGGAGGTATCAGAAAATAACTTGAGAATTTACAAAAAAATAATGAAAAAAACTTGAGTCACCTACAAGGAGGTCATTTCACTTTGCGGTTCGGATTCACCTGAAAATTGGCCAGAACACTCCTGGATGTACCAGAAGAAGATTTGGAAAACCTCAACCTGCACATCTTACTAGTTTTTGAGAAAACACGCTCAAGAAAACGCTGAAATTCCATAAAAATGAGCTTTTTTGGGGCTTTGGACCCTTATTTCTGGAGAACTAGGAAAATGTGCAGGTTGAGACTTTCAGAATATTGTTCTGGTACATCCAGGAGCATTCTGGCCAGTTTTCAGGAAATTCTAAAGCGAAAAGTAAAATGACCTACCTTAAATTTTTTTCAAAAATTTATTTTTGAAATGGAGCTGAAGCTTGAAATCAACTTCTTTTCATTGAAAAAAATTAAAAAAATCTTGGAAATTTAAACCCGCTAGACTCTATTACCCGTCAAAAGAGTCAAAATACACGGAATCCTGCAAAATGAGGCGATTTTTTATCGCGAAGACTCTCGGGGGAAGAACTTTGGTCCATTCAAACTGCAGAGAAATTTGTTGAATCTATCTTTTTTTCCCAATTTTTTGTTTTTCGAAGCTGCACGTGGACGCCATGTGAAGAGCTCCGATGACTTCTTCTTTTTTTTTTGGTCAAAAATTGGGAGTTTGACGTCGGTCACTGAACAAACAGGATTGCCTTTCGAAACTGTCTACGGTTGAAAAAAAGAGGGAAGATTAGGACGCAATTTATGGACTTTTTGAGGGACCTGGTGTACTTGGAATGTAGGATTTCAGTTCAAAAATCATTTTTAAGATCAAATTTTAAAATTTTAGCCCTCCAGGAAGGCCTGTAGTTGAACATAGAGAAGATTATAACACAAATAAGGACTTTTTAAGGTTTTAGGTTAACTTGAAAGTGTTTTTCTATTACGTAAAAACTTCAAAATCCGAAAATCTGAAGATATTTGGTCTTCAGGAAGGCCTGTTGATCATAGAGAAAAATTAGGGCACAATTTATGGACTTTGGGGGCCTGATGTACTTGAAAGGAAGGGTTTTTGATCAAAAATCATTTTAAAAGTCAAATTTGAAAACATGTGTCCTTCAGAAAGGCCTGTAGTTGAACATAGAAATGATTAGGACACAATTTACGGACTTTTTGGGGTTTCAAATGTACTTGAAGTGCAGCTTTTGCTTCAAAAATTATCTAAAATGTTGGATTTGCCTTTTAAAAAGGTCTATGGTGAGCATAAAGACACAATAAACGGATTTTTTGAGGTTCCAGGTCTAAAAAAATTATATAATTTTCGAATTTTAAAATTTTTGCCTTTTAGAAAGGCCTGTAGTTGAACAGGAATATGATTAAGACACAAATAGTGGACTTTTAATGGTGCAGGTTAACTTGAAAGTGCATTTTTATTACGTAAAAACTTCAAAATTCGAAAATCTGAAGGTATTTGGCCTTCAGGAAGGCCTGTAGTTGAACATGAATATGATTAAGATACAAATAATGGTTTTTTTCGGGACCAGGTTCACTTGAAATGTACGGTTTTGGTTCAAAATTATTTTAAAGATCAAAATCGTGCCTGTTGTGTACATAAACTCACAATTGATGAACTTTTTGAAGCTCTAGGTGTACTTGAAGTGCATTTTTAATCCTCAAAAATAAAATGAACTTAAAAATTTTTTAAAATATCTGACTTTCTAAATGAAGAAAGAGAGTGTTAGGACTCGATAAATGGACTTTTTGCGGACCGGATAATTAAAAAATACCTGGAAGAACGGAAATATTCTCAAGAAATTGACAGGAAAAGGAAGAAAAAGCCTAAAATAATGATTTTTGGACACTTTCTGGACCTTTTTCAATGTTTTATAACTTATAGATCAACTTTTTGCCCTTTTTCCAGTTTTTCTGAGTCCCATACCATGCTCAAAAACATCAGAAGAAGTCCTTGGAAGCTTTGGGGACGACATTTCGGTTCATTGAACTCTTGAAGTTCTTTGCTTTCGGAAAAAACAAGTAGACGCAACTGCTCTTTTCTCGTGAAGTTCACGTTTTTCTGGAGTTTTTAGTGGCCACTTGAGGGTTTCGACGTTCTAGTGTTCACTATAGTAGCCGAGTTAGTGGCCAAAGTGTAGTGGCCTCTTAAGGAGTCTAAGTGGTACTAATAGACCATTTGATCTGCAAGTGGCCACTGTAGGGTTCCAACGCTCTAGTGTTCACTATAGTAGTCCAAATAGTGTCCACTTAAGTGACTAAAATCTAGTGGCCTCTTCAAGAGTCTAAGTGGTACTCCTAGACAGTTTGAACTGGGAGTGGCCACTTCAGGGTTTCGACCGTCTAGTGGTCACTATAGTATTCGAGTTAGTGGCCACTTAAGTGACTAAACTTTGGTGGCCTCTTCAGGATTCTATGTGGTACTAATAGACAGTTTGAACTGGGAGTGGCCACCTCAGGGTTCCGACATTATAGTAGTCAAGTTAGTGACCATTTAAGTGACTAAAAGTTAGAAGCCTCTTCAGGAGTCTAAGTGGTACTACGAGACACTGAAGGCTACTATAATGGCCACTAAAGAGCAAAATAATGGCTTCTATAGTGCTGGTTTATAGTGGCCACTTTAGGGTTCCGACGTGTTAGTGGCCACTATAGTAGTCGAGTTAGTGACCACTTAAGTGACTAAAACGTAGTGGCCTCTTCAGGGGTCTAAGTGGTACTCCTAGACAATTTGAACTAGGAGTGGCCACTTTAGGGTTCATTATAGGGGTTGATAAGATCCAAGGGCCCCTATAGAGACCCCTCTGGACTTCCTAAGATGGTTATTCAGATCTATTTGAAGACTTCTGGGCCTCCTGAAACATTAAAAAGGGTCTTTGATTAGGCTAAAACCATTCGGGTAGCTCGAGGAACGTGAAAATCACATAATCTTCAATATTTGCCCCTATAGTGACCCCTCTGGACTCCCTAAGATTGTTATATTGAGCTATTTGAAGACTTCTGGGCCTTCTGAAACCTAAAAAAGGGTTTTTGGTTGAACTATAACCATTCGGGTAGTTCAAGGAACGTGAAAATCACGCGAGGCCGGGTTGGAGAGCAAACAGCCGCCTCTGTTCTGTTACTACAGACACTTGGCCGATTGACGTCCGACTTGAAGGATTCAATACTCAATAGAACACGGGAAAAAACAGATTTGAGCCTTGATCAGATAAAAAAAAGAAGGGAATCGAAGAAATGTTCAGAAAAAATCGAAAAATCAAACATTTTATGGAATTCCGGAGGGATAGTGGGTTAGGAGGAAAAAGCAACCCCTATAGGGGTCGGAAAAGTGGCTCCTATAGGGGTGTTAAAACTGACCCCTAAGCCCCTAGAGCCCAAGTGGTCCCTCTAGGGTTCTCTAATTTTTTTTTCAGCTCAGAAACTCCAATGGGCTTTTGGCTAGGAGGGTCACCTCTAGGGACCACTTTATCAACCCCTATAGGGCCCACTAAAGCTTTTAAAAATGGCCTCTATAGGGGTTTTTAGCTAGTGACTCTTCTAGGGGACATGCCAGTCGATAACTTTTATGAGCTCTATGCGAATTCCAATGGGAAAAACTGAATAAATAGGCATTTTTCAAATGAAATTCAAAAACCCCTATAGGGTCCACTTGAGCTTTTGAGAGCAAGGGGTCAGACCCTAAACCCCTATAGGGACCATCTTAATTTTACCCCCGAACGGACCACTTTCTGAACCCTATAGAGGCTGTTTTTCGCCCTAAGCCCTATAGGGACCACTTTTTCGGCACCTATAGGGCCCACTAGAGCTTGCAAAAGTGGTCCCTACAGGGTTTTTAGTTAGTGGCCCCTATGGTGGACATGGTTTATAGGCTAAGGGGTCAGACACTCTAGCCTTATGGGGCCCTCCTTGGTTTTACCCCTCTAGGGACCTGTTTTTCGGGCCCTTGTAGGGGTTTTTTCTCCCTAACCCCTTTAGGGACCACTCTGGAATTCCTGAGTGGAGCGGAATCTCCAAGGTTGTCCATATAGGGACCGCTCTGAAGTTCCTGATGCTGAAATATTTAGACGATTTGAAAATCTCTGGATCTCCAAGTTTTCCGTTATCTCTCCCACTCTCTGACGCTCATTAATTGGTTTGCAGAAGTCAATACAAACGTGTCATAAGAAAAAAAGAAAGATTGGAATTTTCAAAAAAATTCAAAAATTTCAAGGTTTTTTTGTTCAAAAAAAGAGACATTTTTTTGCTTTTTTTCCCAGTTATCTTATTGAAAAAAATTCCGTTTTCCAATAAATTTCTCTCATTTTTTTGAGATTATATAAAAAAATATTTCCGATCCAAAAACTTCAAGGTCTACAACTAAATCCTTCTTTTTTACCTTTCCTCATCAATAATTAACTTGGCTCGCTTCCAAATCGTATAGCAGTGGTCAAGGAACGAATAAATATACGATTATACTTTGTAACATAATCCGTTGGGGCCAGTAATGATTGTTTTCCTAGCCCTTTTCTTAGCCCCCCACCTGAAGCCAATTAACCTGAGCTTTTCCTTTTGGGGGTCCACCTTTTTGTCGGTATATACTTTCTGCTTGTTTGTAATCGAATACATAGTTGGAAGGCGTGGCTACTTTTGTGTTCGCTTTTTGGTATTTTGGAATATTCCTGGGATTTTCCTGAAGTCATGGCCGTCGTCGTGGCGCCCAGTAAGTTTTTTCTGTTGGGTATTTTGAAAAATTGACAAGTTACGGCTTAAAAAATGTCAAAATTAGTTAAAATCCGGGATTTTTTAAAGTCATGGCTGTACACGTGAAGCCATGTGAGTTTTTTTTTCGTGATTATTTTGAAAAATTGACAAGTTTGGGCTCAAAAAATGATCAAAATTAGGGAAATTTGGTGATTTTCAAGTCATTTTTCTTTCGCTGGCTGTCTCAGGAGTCACTATAAAGTTAGAGAAGCAATTTTGGCTCCAGAATTTTTCAATTCAAACCGAATTTTTCTCAATAAAATAAAGATTTCGTTCATTTTTTCAAATTTTGTCCCTCCGGAGGTTTCCGAGGGGTCACTCAAGGGTTTTGAAGCCCCTAAAATGGTCACTAAAAGTTCCCAGAACGTTCGGACGTTTCTGAGCGTTTCAAGGGATCACTTAAGGGTTTCGACGCCCCTAAAGTGGTCACTAGAGAAGTGCAGAACGTCAGGATTGTGTTAGCAAGGTCAGATTTACTACGCTAGAATCTCGGTAAGCGATTCTAGGAATCACTTAAGGGTTTTGATGCCCCTAAAGTGGTCGTTTCCGGACGTATCTGAGCGATTCAAGGGATCATTTTAGGGTTTTCACGCCCCTAAAGTGGTCCCTAGATATGTCCTGACACGTCCGGTTCGCGTAAGAAAGGTCAACGAAATAACTCGGTAACAAAACCCGGAAGTTTTGAAAAATTCTAGGGATCATTCAAGGGTTTTAACGCCTCTAAAGTGGTCACTAAAAATGAACAGAGCGTCCGGATTCCGTCAGCAAGGTCAGATTAACTGTTATCGAGCCTCGGTAACGAAACGGGACATTTCTGAGCAACTCTAGGGACCACTCAAGGGTTTTGACGCCTCTAAAGTGGTCACTAGAAATGCCCTGACAAGTCCGGTCGTTTCTGAGCGATTCAAGGGATCACTAGAAACGCGTCCGGTTCGTGTTACCCTGTTGAAAGAAATTTGTCCATGGAGCAACTTTTCTCCATTTTCCAGCTTCGTTTGGTTCCGAATTTTATTTCAACTATCCCGGTATACTCTTTTCGAAAATCATTCGCATTTTTGACATTGTAATTTCCACATGAGACCCTCGAAACCTCGCTGAGGTCAGATCAACTGCAATTTATAAAAAATCGCCAATTTTTATTGAAAAAACCCTTGGATTTTCCCTAAACTGGGCATTTCTGCAAAGAAATCAAGAAAAAGCCGTCCCCCGACACTTCCGGTATTTCATAAGGGAACGAGGCCGGAAAGCAACTCTTTTTGGCGTTTTGCCAGTGGTCAGGAACCTCCAATATTTCGCCGTGGGCGAAAGGACCACGAAAGGAATGGCCCTCCAAGGCTTCCTGAATGTTTCTATAGCGACAACCTTCTGGACGTGTTTCTATTACGTTCCTTTTTGACCCTTTACTTCGGATCGGACGTCTTTAAAATGCGGACAGATGTATTTTTCATTAAGAACTTGATAATTTGAGCAATCTTTATTCCAGTATAGTGACCTTCTGTAGGTATTTCACAACAATCCTTCACTTTTTGACCCTTTTTTTTTTGATCGGACGTCTTTAAAGTGCGGACAGATGTATTGTTCATCAGGGATTTGATAAATTGAGCAATATTTATTGCAGCATAGTGATCTTCTGTAGAAATTCTACGAAAATCCTTCATTTTGGACCCTTTACTTCGGATCGGACGTTTTTAAAGTGCGGACAGATGTATTTTTCATCAGGGATTTGATAAATTGAGCAATATTTATTGCAGCATAGTGATCTTCTGTAGGAATTTTACAAAAATCCTTCCTTTTTGACTCTTAACTTTGGATCGAACGTCTTTAAAGTGCGGACAGATGTATTTTTCATCAAGGGCTTGATAAAATGAGCAATCTTCATTGCAGTATAGTGATTATCTGTAGGTATTCCACACAAATCCTTCATTTTTTGAATCTTTACTTTGGATCGGACGTCTTTAAAGGGCGGACAGATGTATTTTTCATTGAGAACTTGATAAATTGAGATTTCAGCTCTATATTGCAGTACATCTGTAGGTATTTTTCTCAAATTCTTTTATTTTTCTTTGGTCGGACGTCTTTAAAGTGCGGACAGATGTATTTTTCATCGAGGATTTGATAAATTGAGCAGTATTTATTGCAGCATAGTGATCTTCTGTAGGAATTTTACAAAAATCCTTCACTTTTTGACCCTTTTTTTTGATCGGACGTCTTTAAAGTGCGGACAGATGTATTTTTCAAGGAATAATCGATTAATTTAGATGTTAAGTTTCAGATTTTAATAGAAACTATAGCCGTAGTTTCAAAAAAAAAAACCTCTGAGTTACAATTTTTGCATAATTTCCCGTATTTTTTTCGGTTTTTTTACGCCAGAGCATCTTCAAAAATCGAAAACATTCCATAAAACTTTTTTTTTGATTTTTTGAATCCGTCCGGTGTTTTTTTATGTAGTTCAATCCCATTGAGATTTTTGAAACTTGGTTCAAAAATTTTTCGATAATAAAAGGTTTTTGCTCTCTTTTGCAAAAGAAAATGGAAAATCGGGAAACTGAACAAATTTTTGCTCGATTTCCGATTTTCCACGACTAATGAGTAAATTGTTGAAACTAGTAAATTTCAACAATCTTTGAGCGGTTCGGAACGGCTTTCCAGCCGCAATTAACCGCCGAGGGGGATAATTAGAGCCCATATCAGAGCAACTTCCACCTGTGTGGGAAATTCCTAGGAAATTGACGTCGTTCCGGTCAAAATCTTGTTCGTTTTTGGGTTCTGTGCGGTTGAATTTCGCGCTTTTTCTGGTTTAAATTAGAAAAAAGGTTAAGGGAGCCGATTTTTTTTGGTTCAAAAAGAGTTTTTTTCAATTTTATATCCAGTAATAATTGTAGTTTCAACCTTATGAATCGCTGCGATTCAAGCTTTTTTTGTAACTGGAATCAGAAATTTTGAACCTTCTTGATTATTTTTTTCATTGTTTTTTTATTGGTTTTTAAATATTTCTTATAGAAATTTAGGCGGGAAGGAAGGGTTTTGTGAGGTTTTTTTGGTTATAAAACACTATTTAAAAATCAAAAAGGATACTTTTTCAAAGGTCTTGGGGATTCAGGAATATCCTTCTTCAAAATAAAATTGTGAAGAAAAGTCGGTTTTTCGCTAAAAAATGAAGCTTCAAGTCATTTTTTTTCTAGCCTCAGAAACTCCTACTAATAATTCATTATTTCAATTTCCAGAAATGACGCTGCGGAACATCTGCAGCAGCCTGGTCTTCATTGTGATTCTGGCCAGCTGCGTGGCTCTTTTTGTCCTTCACAGCTTGTACTTCATCTTCAGAACTGCCTCCCAGACCGAGAAACAAGAACTGAAAACGTAAAAAATTCCTTTTTCCCCAACTTAATCCAATTTTCAGTGTCGACGAAGACCAGCTTTTCATTCCGTCGTTGGTGATTTGCAATCGGATGCCATTCTCGCAGGACGGCGTCAACGCGGTCAATGTCAATATGCGACAGGACGCCGCGTTGAGGTGTGGCATCGGTGGTTCAGTGGTAGAATGCTCGCCTGCCACGCGGGCGGCCCGGGTTCGATTCCCGGCCGATGCAATCTCCTTTTTGCCGACTTTTTTTTTTGATTATTTAGGGTTTTTTTTTAGTTGGAAGCGTCTAGAGGCTAATGGCTGCTGATACTTTGATGCATTTCTTCTCAGTTTTGTAGATTCTGAGCATTTTTTTTTTGACTTGGTTTTCTATAGAGGAGAAAGAAAAGAGTCGTCGGCATCTGTTAAGGGTGAAAAATTGAAAAAAAAAATCCAGACTTTCAATATAATAAAATAAATCAAAAAAACGTCTCCACAGGCTTTCCTAGGTTCACTTCAACAAATTTTCTAATGCGCAACATGAAACATCAGAAAAAGCACCCATTGAGCTGAAAATTTCATTGAATTATACTACTATCACCTTAAAATGATCCAATAACTCGAGACAATTTCAATAATGGGTCTCACCGCGAAAGAAACAGCTGCGCTTGAGGCTACTGTAGGCTTTCCTCTTTTCTTTTTTCTTTCTTTTTGTCGGACCAAGTCTGGACGTTTTCGTTTTTATTTTTAGGTGTAAAATTAGATAAAAATGAGTGGCTTCTGTACAATAAGAAAAATCGGGGGTAATCCGGTTCATATCGACAACACAGCCAAAAAAGACTTGAAAACTGTCCTCCTCAGCTTTTTTTCTGCTTTAATTTCCTTTTTTTACTAATGCTCAAGATTTATTATAAATAGAAATGACTATTAGGTTAAAATGTTCCTCAGAACCTAGGGTGTCCACCTTAAAACAATCCAACTTGTCGGGAAAGCGTCCGTTTTTGGTTTCGCCGCGAAAGAAAGCAGCTGCCCTTGAGGCTACTGTAGGCTGTTCGTCTTGCTTCTACTCTTGTTATTTTAGCGATTCCCGGAAGTTTTTGAGGTGGTTTTTTAAAAATAAGTACTGGCAATTATTCTGAATCACTTTTAAGCTGGAAAAGGTTTTTCTTTTGCAATTTTCATAGATTTTCATAATGTACAGGATGAACAACAATTAGAAGTATTAATTTAGCTTGAAAAAATCTTGAATTCTAGCGCTACCGCCTTAAAACAATCGAAGAACGGCAGAAGATCTTCATGTTGGGTTTCACCGCGAAAGAAAGCAGCTGCGCTTGAGGCTACTGTAGGCTATTTGTTTTTGCTTTTTACTGTTCTTATTTTAGTGATTCTCGGAAGTTTTTTTGAGGTGGTTTTTTTCAGAATCAGAATTCGCAAATACTCTGAATAACTTTTAAGCTGGAAAAGCCATTATGAATTTCATTCCGGATCGTTTTATAATCAAAAAAATACACAAAAAAACTTGGAAAAAAATGTTTTTTTCCATGCAGTGTTCAAGGATTTTCCTAATGTTCAAGGTGAACAACGATTAGGAGTATTCATTTGATTTAAAAAATTTTTGAATCCTAGTGCTACCACCTTAAAACAATCAAAAAACAGACTGAAAATTTTCATGTTGGGTTTCGCCGCGAAAGAAAGCAGATGCTCTTGAGGCTACTGTAGGTTACTTTTCTTGCTTTCACTCTGGTATTATCAGGATTGTCAATAAGTTTTCGAAGTGGTTTTTTAAAAACAAGGATCGGCAACTATTCTGAATCACTTTTAAGCTGAAAAAGGCGATAAGAATTTCTTTCTGGCTTGTTTTATGAGCAGAAAATACAAAAAAGCTTGGCAAAAAGGTACTTTTAATGCAAATTTTATGGATTTTCTTAATTTTTAGGGTTAAAAACAATCAGGAGTATTCATACAGCTCGAAAAATTCTTAAATCCCAGTGCTACCACCTTAAAACAATCGAAAGAACGACTGAAGATCTTCATGTTGGGTTTCGCCGCGAAAGAAAGCAGCTGCGCTTGAGGCTACTGTAGGCTATTCGTCTGGCTTTCACTCTTGCTATTTTAGTGAATCCCGGGATTTTTTTAAATAGTTTTTCAGAATGAGGATTCCCAATTACTCTGAATAACTTTCAAACTGAGAAAGCTGATAAAAATTTCATTCTGGCTTGTTTTATAATTAAAAAATACACAAAAAAGTAGGCAAAAAGGTTTTTTTAAAGCATTTTCATAGATCTTCCTAATTTTTATGGTGAGCAACGAATAGAAGTATTCATTTAGCTCAAAAAAGTTCTTAAATCCTAGTGTAACCACCTTAAAACAATCGAAGAACGACAGAAGATCTTCATGTTGGGTTTCGCCGCGAAAGAAAGCAGCTGTCATGGAGGCTACTGTAGGCTGTTCGTCTTGCTGTTACTCTTGTTATTTTAGCGGTTCCCGGAAGTTTTTGAGGAAGTTTTTTTGAATAAGAATTTGCAATTATTCTGAATAACTTTTAAGCCAAAAAAGCCGATAAGAATTTTATTCTGGCTTGTTTTATCATCAAAAAATACAAAAAAGCTTGGAAAAAAGGTACTTTTGATGCAAATTTCATGGATTTTCCTAATGTTTAGGGTGAAAAACGAAAAGAAGTATTCATTTAGCTCAAAAACTCCTCAAATCCTAGTGTTATCACCTTAAAACAATCAAAAAACAGACTGAAAATCTTCATGTTGGGTCTCACCGCGAAAGAAAGCAGATGCCCTTGAGGCTACTGTAGGCTATTCTCTTGCTTTTACTCTTTTTATTTTAGCGATCCCCAGAAGTTTTTGAGGTGGTTTTTTTAAGAGTAAGTACTGGCAACTGTTCTGAATAACTTTTAAGCTGAAAAAGCCGATAAGAAATTCATTCTGGCTTATTTTATAATCAAAAAATACCCAAAAACTTGAAATAAATGTTTTTTCCATGCAGTGTTCGAGGATTTTCCTAATGTTTATGGTTAACAACGATCAGGAGTGTTTATTTAGTTCGCAAAATTCTTAAGTCCTAGTGCTGCCACCTTAAAACAATCAAAACATAGGCTCAAGATTTTTATGTTGGGTTTCACCGCGAAAGAAAGCAGCTGTCATTAAGGTTACTGTACACTATTTCTTTGCTTTTATTTTTGTTTCTTAGCACTGGAAAAACGTTTTTGAGATGGTTTTTCAAAAATAAGGATTGTCAACTATTCTGAATTACTTTTAAGCTGGTAAAGCCCGTAAGAATTAGATTCTGGCTTGTTTTATAATCAAAAAATACACAAAAGCCTGGCAAAAAGGTATTTTTTTAATGCAAATTTCATAGACTTTTTCAAATGATTAGATACAATAACGAACAGGAGTGTTCATTCAGTTCAAAAACTTCTCAAATCCTGGTGTTACCACCTTAAAACAATCAAAAAACAGACTCAAGATTTTTATGTTGGGTTTCGCCGCGAAAGAAAGCAGCTGTCCTTGAGGCTACTGTAGGCTACTCCACTTACTTTTACTCTTGTTTTTTTCAGGATTTTCAACAGGTTTTCGAGGTAGTATTTTGGATAAAGATTTGCAATCATTAACTTTTAAGCTAAGAAAGCCCGTAAGAATTTGATTCTAGCTTGTTTTTTAATCAAAAAATACACAAAAGCTTGGCAAAAGGGTATTTACATCGTAATATTCATAGATATTTCTAATGTTTATGGTAAACAACGAATAGAAGTATTCATTCAGCTTGAAAAAAACTTGAATCCTAGTGTTACCACCCTAAAACAATCGAAAAACGTTTGAAAATCTTCATGTTGGGTTTCGCCGCGAAAGAAAGCAGCTGCCCTTGAGGCTACTGTAGGCCATTCGTTTTGTTTTTAATCTTGTTATTTTAGCGATTCTCAAGAGTTTTCGTTGAATTCTACGAGGACCTGAGGTTGAAAACAATTTAAGAATCTTTTTAGAGTTGAAATATCGATTAAATTTCATGCTCCCTCGTTTTATAATCGAAAAAGGCTCAAAAACTTGGTCAAACCGTTTTTTCTGTACAACTTTCCAGGAACCGCCTAATGCTTAGGGTGTATTATAATCAGAACTAGACCCTAAAAAGAAAAAATTCTCAGAATATAGTAATTTGGCTTTAAAACAATCCAAAATCTTCTGAGAATCTCAGTGTTGGGTTTCACCACGAAGGAATTCAACTGTCCTGAGACTACTGTAGATTATTCTTTTCGACTTTTCTGGGTTTTTTAACTGGTTTTGATTGTTTTTTTTTATAGATAACTAGTCATTTTTGTTATTTCGATCCAAAAAAATCCGTTTGAAACACGTGCTACCCACTTCTTACGTCCCTCTGCCGGAAAAATGCATTTCGAAATTTTTTTCCCTATTTTTTTAAAATTTTAAGATCTTCGAAAAATAATATTGCAGGTACCTTCTGGAATGGACGAATCCATCGATGCGAGAAGCGGCCGATTTTTCCACACAACCTATCGCTTTCATGCAACAAGGTCTTTTTTCAGAAATAGCCAATTTTGTGTTTTTCGCTAATTTGATTGAATTATTTTGATATTTTGAACTGTTTTAGGTACGTTGAGGATTTTTTTTTAGCTTTTTAGTGTTTTTTGTGGAAATTTAGTGCTTTTGAAAGTTTTTTGTTACGATTTTAAGCGGAAAATCTTCATGGAAATTCATTTTTCAGAACTTGCAGCATTGATAATTTATAAAATACACGTTTTTTGTATGGTTTGAAAGTTTTAAGTTTGATGATTTTCTATGAAGAGTCCAATATGCTTGAAATCATCAACTTGAACCTATTCATCTTGAATTTTTCTAACAATTACGCTCCTCTGACAATACAGTACACATAATTTCAGGCCAAAACACCGTCATGCAATATTTGAGCACGAATAATCGCAATCAAACGCTCTCCTCGATGCAATATCAGTGTCAAAGCGTCATCAACAGCTGTAGTTTTCAGGTTTTAAAAGATTATACTCTATTCACAGCTAGCTTGTCTCAAAATGTCTTGGAAATATAAGTCTCAACCCATAATAAGACTTTCAATCGAGACAAGGTCGCTAGCGCAGTTTTTCACCGATTCGGGCTCAAAAACTGCAAAGATTCCCGTAGTACGTCTTTTTTTTTCGTCCGCCTGTATTTTTCCGTAGAGTGTTGTGTGTAGCGTGCATGCACTGCGGCGCTCTCGCACATACTGTACTCGGAATAATCTCGAAATTTCTGAGATTCGGTCATATTTTTCCCTCCCTGGTGGCTATTTTGAATTTCGCGGAATCACTGTTAACACGGCAGCAAAAATTGCGTTTTTAATTTGGGAAACCGATTCGTCTCAAGACCCATTGAACATGCGCCTTTAATAATCCCTGTTGCTTAGGCTTGTTTTTCATGACGTCACATGGGAACGACGAAGGTTTTGACCCCGCCCCTTCACTTTTGATTTTGCATTTTTTTTTTTCAAACCGGGGTAGGAAAGGATTCGTCTCAAATTTGAGCGGCAATAATTGATTTGGCGGATCTTCATAGCTTTTTTCAAGCCCAGATTTGAAATAAGCTCAAAATTTAGTCCAGGGGACCTGAAAAAAGCTCTTTACACCTCTGGGAAAAAATGGCCGAAAAAATTCTTTGAGAAATTGCGCTCCACGGATAACTTCATTTTATCTCGCTATAGGGATTCTAACACAGCTAAGGTTGATTAAAATGGTTTCATTACCTCCCTAGGGTCCACTTGAGTGGTCAGAGCGATTTTCTTCAGGAATTATTACTGTGGAAGTCGCGTTAAGACCTCTTTAATGATTTCTCGGGAATTTTTGGTTTTTTCAACAAGCTAGCGGTGAATTTAGTTTATCAAGCAACTAATATTGATTTTTAATGATTAGGGCATCCAATTATCGTCGTTCGACTGCTGCCGCAATTTGGTCACCTATTTCCCCAGTACAAATGGCCTATGTTGGCTTTGGCGTGACGCCACCATGTGGCAGAACTCCACCAGCGTCACCAAGCAGTTCAGCATCACTTTCCAGGTTTCCTTTTAAGATTATAACAAGTATAAAGTGTAAAAACTTGGAAAAAACGCTCAAAAAGTTCAGATGACGAGAAATTCCTGGTATTCGCAGTTCGTTCAAGTCCATCCCGGGGTCGACGTTTATCTTCAGGTATAGTTTTCAGGGGAAAAAATCGATTCTGAAGCTTGAATACCTCTGAAACATCGGCAAAAAGTTTGAAAAATGCTCTATAGAAATGAATCTTTTTGCTGCCTTTTTGCGACCTTTCATCGGCCTTTATGCACCATTTTTGCTGCCTTTTTCTTTTCCCACCATTTCTTGAGCCTTTAAAATTCCTGAAAAAATGCGAGGCTCGATAAAGGGACTTTTTTTGAAGACTTTTTGATGCCTTTTTGCGGTCATTTTGCTGCCATTTTGCTGCTTTTTTGCGCCATCTTTTCGGTTACTGAGCACCATTTTTGCAGCCTCTCCCTTTTTCCACCATTTCTTGAGCCTTTGAAATTCTGAAAAAATGAGAGGCTCGATGAAGGGACTCTTTTTGAAGCCTTTTTGATGCCTTTTTGCGGCCTTTTTGCTGCCTTTTTGCGGCCATTATCCGCCATTCCGAATGTACTTGTGGTAGCATAAAAAATTGGAACAAAATTCATAGATTCTATGAAATTTCAGAACCTTCATAAAGGATGATCCTTCAAGATCTACTTGATCCGATAAAAAACTTTTCAGGACGGTAAAAATGACATCAACCGTATGGCGACGGAACTTGAGAACCCAATAAGACTCATGGACAAACGTGGAGTCCGACTTCTCATGAATAAACAGGTTGGTTTGAAAAAGGAGTGGAAATATTGAAAAATAAGATTGGATTCAAAAAAAAAAATCTTCGTCTGCTGGCTCTTCCATGGTGACACTAAAAAAAAGCGCTAAAATCACTTAAGTGATCACTAAGAGGGTGGAGGGGTCTTGAAGATCCTCCTATCAATTTATAAGTTGTAAAAGTTCAAATCATTTTTTTCATCACAAAATGTTTTTCTAGCTTTCTCAATGTAACACGAAAGAAATTTTAACATCACTTAAGTGGTCACTAAAAAGGGTTTGAGAACACCTGAAGCTCCGCCTTTTCACTTCGTGCCTGAAAAAAAGCTTTCAAATATTTATTTCAAATTATTTTTTTGTAATCGAAAAAAATTATTTTTTTCTGTCTCAAAGTTAACACTGAAAGAAGCGGCCCTTAAGTGATCACTTTATGATTGAAGGAGACCTGACGCTCCGCCCTCTTTTACTAACTTTCCTAAGGCGACACTGAAGAAGCTTCAACATCACTTAAGTGATCACTAAAAGGGTTTTGAACACCTGAAGCTTCGCCTTTCACTTCATGAGTTGGAAAAGCTTTCACAGATTATTCAAATTATTTTTTGTAATCAAAAATTATTTTTCTGTCTCAAGTTAACACTAAAGAAGCGGCCCTTAAGTGATCACTTTATGACTGGAGAGGACCTGAAGCTCCGCCTTCTTTTACTAACTTTCCTAAGGCGACACTAAAGAAGCTTTAACATTACTTAAGTGGTCACTAAAAAGGGTTTGAGAACACCTGAAGCTCCGCCTTTCACTTCGTGCCTGAAAAAACTTCAAATATTTTTTTCAAATTATTTTTTTGTAATCAAAAAAATTATTTTTTTCTGTCTCAAGTTAACACTAAAGAAGCGGCCCTTAAGTGATCACTTTATGACTGGAGAGGGCCTGAAGCTCCGCCTTCTTTTACTAACTTTCCTAAGGCGACACTAAAGAAGCTTTAACATTACTTAAGTGGTCACTAAAAGGGTTTGAGAACACCTGAAGCTCCGCCTTTCACTTCGTGCCTGAAAAAAAACTTCAAATATTTTTCAAATTATTTTTTGTAATCAAAAATTATTTTTCTGTCTCAAGTTAACACTAAAGAAGCGGCCCTTAAGTGATCACTTTATGACTGGAGGAAACCTGAAGCTCCGCCTTCTTTTACTCACTTTCCTAAGGCGACACTAAAGAAGCTTTAACATTACTTAAGTGGTCACTAAAAGGGTTTGAGAACACCTGAAGCTCCGCCTTTCACTTCGTGCCTGAAAAAAAACTTCAAATATTTTTCAAATAATTTTTTGTAATCAAAAATTATTTTTCTGTCTCAAGTTAACACTAAAGAAGCGGCCCTTAAGTGATCACTTTATGACTGGAGGAAACCTGAAGCTCCGCCTTCTTTTACTTAGGGACCGCAGACGAATTTTCAAAAAAATTTTTTCAGCATTGATCTTTGTATGGTTTGATAGCTGTTCCGATTCAAAACTCAGAACCGTTTAGTTTTTCGAAAAAGATTGCGGATGAAAAAAGTTATGACGAAAAATGTGGCGCGCCGCGCACCATTTTTTTAGTACTGAAATTTTGGTATTATCCATTTTTTTGACATTTTTTTCTCGATTTTTTTCTTCTAGAACAAGTTTTGATACTGGTTTATTATGATGTAACAAATCATAATAGAGTGCTAAAATGATGCTCATCAGCTAGTTTGCCGAAAAAAAGTCGGTATTTTTCCAGAAAAACAAAAAAACTGACGATTGCGGGCATCGAACTCGCGACCTCAAAATGAAAAAAATCGCAGCGCACGCGCTGCGCCAAGCTGTTAGGTATAGCGAGGGGAGCTTCCATCCGACATAGCCTTGAGCCGTTTGAATAGCACAGATTGCCTATTTCAAAAAGAAAAAAACTTGAAGAAATTTAGCTATTTTTTTCAGAATATGTTCGCAAATCTTTACTCAAACCTTCCGTGGAAATTCACTTCGAAAAAAACTGTTTTTTTAGTGCTTATTTCCTCGTTTAACGATCGCTGCCTTAAAAACGGCCCCGTATATTTTTTTGGCAAAGACGAATTTTTTTATTTTATTCTTTTAATTGAAAGATTTTTTTATTAATAAATGTATATAATCGTTTAAAAAAACCTGCGTTCGACCGCTTTCTGTGTGATAAACGCCGCTAATTTTTATTCTCTAGTTTCAAGAGCATTTTTTTGTGTATTAAACAACTTTTTTTCAAGCACATATTCTGTGGAGAAATATTTAAGTAAGCCCATGGTCTAAATTTAAAAACAAAAAAACTCGATTATATTCGCTTATTAACGATATTTTGAATCATGACTTTCGGCACTCCCTAAAAATTTTTTTGGCAAAGACGAATTTTTTTATTTTATTGTTTTAAAATTACCGTTACTTGAATCAAAAATCATTATTTAAAAAAAGAAAGAGTGCGTTCGACCTGAAAAACACACGAAAAAAAGCAAAAAAATGACAAAAATTTTTAGTTCCATTCACGTTTTTTTGTACGACATTCCGCGAGAACGCATCAAAAAAAGCGTGAAATATTTTTTTAAACGAAAGAGGAAGCTTTTCTGTACATGTGTGTCAAATTTTATTAGCCAGTTCCACATATTTTGCAACTACAACAAAATGAAAGTTGAAAACCAAAAAAAAGCCACTTTTTCTATCGCGAAAAGGGGCGTGGCTTTGCGGTCCCTACTTTTACTAACTTTCCTAAGGCGACACTAAAGAAGCTTTAACATTACTTAAGTGGTCACTAAAAAGGGTTTGAGAACACCTGAAGCTCCGCCTTTCACTTCGTGCCTGAAAAAAAACTTCAAATATTTTTCAAATTATTTTTTGTAATCAAAAATTATTTTTCTGTCTCAAGTTAACACTAAAGAAGCGGCCCTTAAGTGATCACTTTATGACTGGAGGAAACCTGAAGCTCCGCCTTCTTTTACTCACTTTCCTAAGGCGACACTAAAGAAGCTTTAACATTACTTAAGTGGTCACTAAAAGGGTTTGAGAACACCTGAAGCTCCGCCTTTCACTTCGTGCCTGAAAAAAAAACTTCAAATATTTTTCAAATTATTTTTTGTAATCAAAAATTATTTTTCTGTCTCAAGTTAACACTAAAGAAGCGGCCCTTAAGTGATCACTTTATGACTGGAGAGGGCCTGAAGCTCCGCCTTCTTTTACTAACTTTCCTAAGGCGACACTAAAGAAGCTTTAACATTACTTAAGTGGTCACTAAAAGGGTTTGAGAACACCTGAAGCTCCGCCTTTCACTTCGTGCCTGAAAAAAAAACTTCAAATATTTTTCAAATTATTTTTTGTAATCAAAAATTATTTTTCTGTCTCAAGTTAACACTAAAGAAGCGGCCCTTAAGTGATCACTTTATGACTGGAGGAAACCTGAAGCTCCGCCTTCTTTTACTCACTTTCCTAAGGCGACACTAAAGAAGCTTTTAACATTACTTAAGTGGTCACTAAAAGGGTTTTGAACACCTGAAGCTCCGCCTTTCACTGCATGAGTTGGAAAAGCTTTTACAGATTATTCAAATTATTTTTTTCAATTATAAATTAATTTGCTAGTACACTAACGTTATCACTGAAGAAGATAGAAACACTTAAGTGATCACTAAAAGGATGAAGGAGACCTAAAGCTCCACTTTCTTTTGCTCTAACACTAAATAAGCGATCGCGCAGCTTAAGTAACCACTTGAAGTATTAAGCTCCGCCTTCTTTCTCAAGGTAACACTAAAGAAGCTTCAACATCCCTTAAGTGATCACTAAAAGGATTATGGACAGCTTAAGCCCCTCCTATCAATTTATATAATGGGAAAGCTTCTACAAATTTTTTTTTCGTGATTTTCTTCAAAAAAAAGTCCGACTTTTTGCAGGAAAGAGCCGACATCAGACGCCCTGAATGCGGCCAATCCCTTGGAGACGCTCGAAGATCCGACCGACACGCTTTTGAGCACAATAATACCAATTACTTGATTTGTGAACTCATGGTGATTTATTTCATCAGGGGATTTTTCATCAGAACCATTGGAAATGACATTGGGAACCGTCATACTAGATTTGGCTTGTTTTGAAACTGTCATGGCCGCATTTGGAATGGATTAACGTGTCGCGGTCGCTTAACGACTTGAAAAATAATGTTCCCCGCTCGAGATTTTTGTACTTCGTGGCTGCAGAAAATCAAAAAAAGCCATTCCAAATGCGGCCACGAAGATTTGAAAAAAACCTTCAAAAATCTATACTAAATATTGTTAAAACAGATCTCAAACAGAGTTAGTCCAAAAAAAAAAACGACAAAAATCACTGGTCGCATTGGGAATGGCTAGGCGCGTCGCGGTCGGAACTAGAAATTCAAACATTTCTCAAAATTGCGATATGACTCCAAGCGCAAGTCGTTTCAAAGTCGGTCGAGCAAGATTAATGTGATACCTATTTCACGGCTGGCTTGATTAATCGAAAAGGGTTCTGGCACGAAAAAATAAGAGACTGTTTAGTTCGTGGAGGGCGCAGACAGGACACGCCCCAAGCTAGCCGTGAATAGACTTTATTTCTAAATTTGAAAAAAAAAACTTTCAGGTCGCCATGCGGTACTGCAACTGTCACCCGTTGATCGCTGAGATGCTTCAATTTGATCCTGTCAAGTTTAGGTTCGTTTTAGTCGATTCACTAGTATTTTAACTCAATTTTCAAAATCAAAGCTTTAAATTGTGTTGTAATTTGTTTTTCTCGAAACTATCTCATTTTTACGTACTATTTCCATGTTTCTCTGCTCTTTTTCGTGATGTAACAAAGACGCAGACGCTCGAAAAACATCAAATCGCGCCAAACGAACTATAGAAATCTCAAATAGGGTAGCTAGAGAACTTGCCGTTTTCAGAGACCCTTCAAAATCTTAGAAAATGCTAACTGGTTTAGTAGCGAGACCACCATTGATAGTTTTTTCGTGTCCATTTACCAAAAATATACTTTCGAAGCGTCTCTCAATACGACTAGAAAGTTTGAATTGTAAGAAATTAGGGTTACCCCCGTTTTTTTCAGAGCTTAAAATGTAGCTGAACCAAATTGAGACGGTTTTTCAGAGACTTCAACAGCCGTGTTTTGTCCACGAGCGTCTGTAGCGTCGAAGCCTACGATAACTGTGCGAGAAGATACGTTGACATCGCTCGGATCGAAAACTGGAACGAAAAAATTCCCAACGATTTGCCCGGCCGCGATGACGCTGAGAAATGCCGCAGGTACATGAAAAAGCCTTTAAAAGCGAATTTGAAGCTTTAAATTTGAATTTTCAGGTTTATTCATAGCTCAGACTAGAGCTCGAAGTTTTTTGAGTTAAAACCTTGAAACAAAATTCAAAAAGCATTCTAAAATCAGATTTTGAAAAAATACTTTTTGAAAGGTTTTTTTGAATGATTAATACCGGTTTCTTCATACAAAACAATAAATAAAGGAAAAAAATCGATAAGTTGATTTTTAGCGACAATCATCGCAGTTGCTTGATCACCTCCTACCCAGGGAACCATTGAGGGCTATGATCTCCCCGAAGAGTATCGAAATACTCAGGTTTTAACCCAAAATCAGCTTTAAATTCATACTAAAATTCAGGATTACGTGTCCCGACTGGTCTTGGAATACAGCACGATGAAAAAGACGGAAATTCTATTGTCCAAAGATCCCAATATTTACGAATTGCTCAGCTACATCGGATACAATATTGCCTTGTGGTTCACTATTGGCCATATTTTGTGGTAGTTCTCCAGTTTTCCAAATTTTCACTTCATTCTCTGATTCAGGAGCTTGTTCGCAATGTCGCGCAACGTTTGCTGTCCGAGATCGACCAAGGTGCGATTTATTCGAATTTTTGTGTACTGTAGCAGTGAAATGTGTGAGCACCGGCGTGCTTGCGTATTTTGAGCTACGGTGGTTTTAGCATTAAATTTTTTTTTGTTATTTTGTTCTCTCTGTTTTTTAAATCAACTTTTTGATTTTTATTCGCAGATTGTGCCTGGCGACAGGAAAAGAGTTGCGATTTCGACGCCCACACCGATTCTGGTCGAATCGACGCCGGCCACGGTGATTGAAGAGACGACGGAAGGCGAAATCTGATGGTTTTACAGTGTTTTCTGTTATTTTTCATGTTTCAGAAGCTTTATTCTGTTCAAAATGCCTTGTTGGTGTGTTTGGATGGGATTCAAGATAGTATCGACACGAAAAGCCGTTTTTGAAGGGTTTTTTGTCGAGAAAATCTTTCGCGCCTTCAAACTATCCAACAAGGCTTTTTGAATAATTTGATATTTAAATATTTTGTCATATCGTTTTTAGTCAACTGTTTATTTCATTCCAGAAATTTTTTCATTCTTTTTTTTTCAAATTTTTTTTCAAACTGAGAATTGAATAAGGAGCTGTAGTATACCTTTAGTTTTTCGAAATAATTGAAGTTAGATATTTTTTCGAGTTAATTTTTGCTCGAACATTCCATTTTCTTTACATATTTCTCTTATTCGACGGTAATTCCTCACTTGGAAACTTTTCTTGTTCTAAATAATATTCAGAATTTTTTTTTTAACCGTAACATGAAAAATGTCAATTTTTGTTTTACTTTGCTTTTTTTTCTAGCACTTGATGTCACTTTTACCTGTTGTCTCCTCGTCATTTCCCAACTTGTTTTGATAATTTTTTCTCTCCAACTTCATTTCAGAGCATATTTACTCGCCCGGTTGTCTTTCGGTTCGCATTCTTCTCAGTTTTCTTTTCCGCCGTGGATCTCTTTTACAATTTTCGAATATATTATTGAAGTTTATATATAAATTTTTGATATAGACTTTTGTTTTGTTTGTCGAATGATGGTTCAACTCCAAGGTAACAACCAAATAACCCAACAAACAAATGGCCGCATGACTTTTCGTTGGAACTTGCACCCATTCGTATGTTTTGTTGTTTTTTTTTCCTTCGAAAGTGAAATCGCAAATAAACAAGATGAAAGTTTTTGTTTGCTACGGCGTAGTTTGACGGTTTTTGAGAAACGGAAAACGTTTGGAAAGTAATATTTAACTAAAAAAGATGAGCTGAATTCAGAATTTCAAATTTAAATCATTAAATAATTTAAAAAAAGAAAGTCCACTGTTTGTTTCTTCTTTAGAAGATTTACTGCAAAATTTAATCGGTTAGTTTTTTCTTATTTCTTATTTTCTTTTAAACTTTTTCGATGAAGTAACTTAGGAACTCCAGAGTGGTCCCTATAGGGCTTTTAAGGTCCAGCCCTTGGAGCTCAAGCGGACCTATAGGGGGCTTTAAATTTCAATCAAAAAACGCTTATTTATTCTTTTTTTTTTCATGGAAATGCTTCTTCATAACAATTAACTATTCAATTCAATTCAATTTGTTTATTTTTTTCGCAACATCGGGATGGTATGGTGATGTTGCAGGGAGGGAAAAAGACCACTAGGTGGATTAACTAACCCCACCTGTGAAGAAAAAAAAAGTTTTTTTGTGTAAGAAAAGAAACATAGAACCATAATAAGTAGATATTTAAAACCAAGTTGATTGTGGCAAAAATCTGTGAATTCTTGAAAGAATATGCTCGACGCCAACATTTTCTGCATACACTAAAACATGTCCTTAAATTTTTTCTTGTCTTCCTCTGCCAATAATTCATGTTCAATGTCATTCCAAACATTAGTAATGCGATGTGATAAGAAATTGAAGAAAACCAGTGAAGGTTTCGTTTTTATTAATTTAAAACCATTTCCTCTGAGCTGACTGGGACGGTCAAAGATGTTATGTACCTGGATGGGAGAGTCTGACCAGCACTTATTATGCAAAAACTGATGTGATAATACCAGATCCTTAACTAAACGCCTAAACCAAAGAGGTTGAAGACCTAAAAGTTTTAACCGTTCATTATATTCCATTCTTGGGGAAAGGCGCTTCGTGAAACGCCTCTGGACCGATTCTAATCGATCAATATCTGACTTTGTCAATGGACACATTAGTTCCGAACCATACTCTAGAATGGGAAGTACCTTGGCCTTGAAAATATTTTTCTCATAAAGATTTATTTTCGGATTTCTTCCTTTCTTTTTTTTATTTTTACATTTAGTGTATTTAAGTTTATACGAAATGTTTATATTTTGCGAGTCATTTTCAAGGTGAAAAGGCGTTTAATCGAAAACTCGTCAAGTTTCGAAAAAAGTAGGAGGAATCACAGTAGGCAGAGTTTTTTTTGAGTCTTCGCTTTGAGACCCGAGGCAAAGTCTGAAGGGTTGAGAAAAGCTTTATAGAAATGTTCCTTTAAGAGCGACAAAGGTCCCTTTTTTGCTGCCTTTTAGCGCCATTTTATCGGCTTTTATGCACCATTTTTGCAGCCTTTCCCTTTTCCCACCATTTCTTGAGCCTTTGAGATTTTAGAAAAAGTGTAAGGGTCGATAAAGGGACCATTTTTGGGGCTTTTTTCGAGCCATCTTGCTTCCTTTCTGTGGCTTTTTTTTTAGCCTTTTTGCTTCCTTTCTGTCGCCTTTTTTGAGCCCTTTTGCTGCCTTTCTGTGGCTTTTCTTGAGCCCTTTCGCTGCCTTTCTGCGGCCTTTTTAGAGCCTCTTAGCGCCCATTATCCATTATTCCTGTTTTGTCCGAAATTTTGAGCAGTATTTGGGCCAAAAAAGGGTACAAGGTGGCGTCTGGGCTGTAGTATAGACCCCTAAAATCATAGATAGGGTTTTGGAACAGAAAACAACTTCACTAATTGATCCGAACATCACTGATCAAGGAGCATGAAACGTCTAGAGAAAAAACCACGAGTAGTAGCGTACGGCGCATGACGTCATTGTCTCAACGCGCATCACGTCATTGGGTCGCAAAGGACGGCTGTTTATTTGGACGATCTGAGCCGCGCACGAGTTCTCAGCCAACGTTTTGTTGATGTTGTTGTTTGGCCGCACGCCAAACGGCTCCACAAACCAACAAACATTTCTTGTTTCGCTGAATATTTCGAGTCGTTGGGTGCATTTTGTGATTTTTTTGCTGTTTTTGAAATATTAAAGCTTTTCATTAAAACGTATATTTTTTATATCTTGATTTACCAGTTATGTAGCAATTTAAGAGCATCCTTAGAAGTTCCAGAGTGGTCCCTACAGGGATTAGGGGCAAAAAAGCCTCTTTGGGGGCTAAAAAAATGGTCCCTATAGGGATTTAGAGACTGACTCCTTAGCCCCCAAAACTCAAGTGGTTCCCATAGGAATAAGGGGGATAAAAAGGGCCCTTAGAGGCCGAAAAAGTGGTCCCTATAGGGGTTCAGGGTCTGACTGCTTAACCCGTGAATCTCAAGTGGTCTCTATAGGGGTTAGGGGGTGAAAAGCCCCTATAGAGGCCGAAAAAGTGGTCTCTATAGGGGTTCAGGATCTGACCTGTGTACCCCTAAAGCTCAAGTGGTCCTTATAGGGGTCTTTCAACTCATTTAAAACGCTTTTTCGTTTAATTTTTCGCTTATATAGTGGCCACTAAGTAAAACCCCTATAGGGACCACTTTTGCAAGTTCTAGTGGCTCCTATAGGGGAAATTCTAGTCGATAATTGTTATGAACTCTAAGCGGAGAAGCATTTTCATGGAAAAAATGAATAAAAAAGCGTTTTTTGAATGAATTTTAGAGACCCCTATAGGGTCCACTTGAGCTTCAAAGGTTAAGGGGTCAGATCCTAAAACTCTATAGGGATCTCCCTAATTTTACTTTTGTAGAGACTACTTTTCGACCCATATAAGGGCTGTTTTTTTCTTTTTTTTTCTGTGATTTTCTTATAATTCTTGATATTTTCCATCGGACGCTGTGCTTTCTTCTGAAACGGAGCAATGTTAGTGTGATAGTATTTATAAACGTGACTAAAAAAAAGTCCTTAAATTTGTGATTCATGATGTGTCTTCCTCGACGATTTTTGATGTTGAAGTTGTGTAGAATCATTGGCCTGAATGGGATAGTATTCCTTATCGGAAAGTTGTGAAATTTCTCTTATCAGCTCGTGGAGATGGACCTTTTAGTTCCTTGTAGGTTCTAGAGCCTTTAAAGTGAAAAATTGGCCAGTCTGGGAAAATTTTTAGTGGCCCCTATAGAGGCTCGCCAAGGACTACTTGGAGAGAACACTAAAGTGGCCACTAAAACCACCTCTATAGTGGCCACTATTTTACGTTTAGTGGAAACTATAGAGGTTCTCTATTTAGTGGCCACTTCAGTAGTTTTTCATCCAGTAGTCCTTCCAATAACTCTGATAATTTCAAAACAAACAGATTGGACCAGTTATGTTGATCCATTGACCCCTAAAGTGGCCACTAAGTTGTCTAGTAGTAGCACTCAGACCTCTATAGTGGCCACTAACTTTGAACCCCTCAAGTGGACATTAATTTCACTACTATAGTGGCCACTGAAACTTCAAAATCCTACTAAGAAATCTCCCGAAAAACCAGTTTTTTGACTTTGACTTGAGATTGAAGACAAGCTTTAAAAATTCGTGAAAATTTCGAGATCATGCCTCAAAAGGAAAAAGAACCATGAATCTTCAAATATAGGCCTCATTTTGGAGTATAACTCATTTTTCTATTGGAAATTGGTAATTTTTCAGTTCTGGTAGCAGAAAGATGGGTATTTTGTGAAATTTTGAGAAGTTTCGTTATTCGCGAAGGGCTTATATGGTCTAGTTGCGTTATTTTTAACGAAGTGAGGATTTTTTTTTTCGGTAGAACGATTTTTTAAGGTTTGAAAGAGACAGTTGAACACGTCAATTATTATTTTTATACCCTCTCATTTTTCCTGGACAAACCAGAGTTATTAATAAATAAAAGGAGCTCCGGCAAGAAAGGAAGAGTTGCGCAATGGATCCCATTGTCCAGGTGTGACCCGTCCACACCCGAAAAAAACAACACCCCCCTGTTACTCAATCCGTTTTGACCCCCTTCGCGTGATCTTTGGCACCTTGCCCACGCGTCGTTAAACAACAGAAAATCCAAGGAAAAGCATTCTTTTCAGTATGATCATTAAAGTGCTCGTGAATTCTCTTGAGCCTTTATATAACATAAACAAAGTCGGAAGGACCCTTAAGGGGCCCTTTGAGCGTCAAAAGGTTTAC